GTCGTCTCATTGGGCCATTCTCAACTGTCGTAGGTCCAATTGCCGAGCTACAATCTCACCAAAAACTTTTTGGTGAGCCGTGATATCCTTCCGGCGAACAGCACATGGACGTTTCTGGCGAGTAGCTCCGTCTCCGGCCTCTGCGTTGTACGTGACTTTGATTCCGTGCTTCAATATACCGCTTATAAATCGGTATCCAGTGCTTGGTGATGCAACCCGCGGACACGGTATGTGTTTGCACCCTTTTATCTACTTCGCTTCATCAGCCCTGTACTTAGGCATTAACACGGATGTACAACCAGCCAACCGTTCTGGGGCCAAACGGTAAGATGGTGGGTACCTTGTACAAAAACCCGATAGACTGCCTGTGGAAGACGGTCAAGACCGAGGGCGTGCGTGGGTGGTATAAAGGTACGCTACATCAACGTCTTCCCCCACTCGACTTATCGCGGTACAGGATCGACGGCGCACTTTATGCGGATAGCTCCACATACGTTCGTTTTCCCTTGCCGTTTCCTTTGGATGCTGATCGGGCTTCTAGAATCATAACATTGACGGCTAATGACCTTATCATTAATCTATACAAGAAAATGCGGGATAATGACTAGTTTATCTGCATGAATAGATGGGTTCCATGACCCTCATGCTAGAATGCAATCGGACCGAGTGATGGCTACTTCTGACCTGTTTTTTTTTGCCAGACTCCCCTGGATGACTGACGCAATCAGTTAGCGGCGGGGAGAAAATATCGAGGCACTTGGAGAACCAGGCGTTCTAATATTTAAGCGGAAAATGTTTAGAATGCCAGGAACTCTGGGCGTCACACCAAGGTTAAGCGAATGAAACTCAGCGGAGGAGGCGCGTGATATACCCTCATGGTTGCGTTTCAATCTAGCGGGAAGCCTCGGGCAGAAGCCTCAACCTCCGAGGAAGTGTCGGAGCGGCCACGAGCATAGCGTGGAAACCTAGATTTGGCCAAGCTCCTGCCTCTCTGGGTCGCTCCATTGGCGCCAACTTGCCCGGCACCGTACATTATTAATCTGCGATCCTGGTGCTTTACGATCCGATGAAGTTGTACATTGCGCACGTTTCGTGGGTCCGAACACCACCATCGGCTGTTTGTTCGGTATAAAGGGAGAGCCTGCGGTCATCATGCTTTCATTGCCAATGGCTCGTTTCACTAGGGTCATCTTTGGTCTCTCCCTCTTGTCCTCCGCTTTCGCATTCAATCCGGGATTCCCGTACGGCTCTCAGAAAGTTCGTGGTGTCAATTTGGGTGGCTGGCTCGTCCTCGAGGTATCTTGACCGCGCCTGTGCGTTCGACGCGCTGCTAACGCTAGCGCTTAGCCGTGGATAACGCCTTCTTTGTTTGACAACACTGGCAACCCGAACATCGTCGACGAGTGGACTTTTGGCTCGTTACAAAACCGTGCGACGGCGACGGCGGCCCTCAGGAATCACTGGAACACCTGGGTTACAGAGGCAGACTTTGCGGCTATTGCGGCGGCTGGGCTGAACCATGTGCGGTTGCCTATTGGTTACTGGGCATTTGAAGTCGGTCCAGACGAGCCGTACATCCAAGGCCAACTGCCCTACCTGCAGAAAGCCATCACTTGGGCAACCGAGCATAACCTCAAGCTAATCATTGATCTCCATGGCGCTCCTGGCAGTCAGAATGGTTTCGATAACAGTGGCCACAGAATTTCCTTTCCGTGCGTTCCACAGCATTTCTTTCCATGCTTGATTCATGTCCCTCAAAGGCAATGGCACTCGAATGCTACAAACGTTCAGCGCACAGACGCAATCATCAAGAACCAAATTGTCCCCATGGTCGCTAATAACTATGGAAATGTGCCCATCGTTGCGCCTTTGAACGAGTCGAGTGTTTTGTATCTTCTGTGGATCCATCTAACTTTCACTTCAAGACCCGCAGGATTTGACGGTGACGATGTTTTATCCGTTCTCAAACAAGTCGGTGGAATTATGTGCAGTCAATAATGGGCTGACCTACGTTGGTTAGTACTGGCTCGACAGCTATGGTAATATTCGGCAAGTCAAATGCTTAACCGGACGCCTCCTGTTCTCATCACATTTTAGAAACCCATCTGGCACTTCTCAGCAAAGCAACTTGGTAGAGCTAATCCACGACGCCTTTCAGGTGCGAATCTCGTCAACCACTCGCTCGTTGTTTCACTGACGCCCTTGCAGCCTCTCAGCTACTGGAGCGGCTCGTACACACCCCCCAATTATCAAGGGGTAGCCATGGATACCCACATTTACACCATATTCTCCGGCGCTGTAGGTCTTTGTTTTCATGTTTCCCAGCTCTCCCTAATGGTGATTTGTGCAGGAAGTTGCAATGACTCATGCACAGCACATCTCCACTGTGTGCGGGAAACAGTCTTCACTTTCTTCGTTTGATTTGTGGGTCATCGTGGGCGAGTGGACGCCTGGTGCGTTTCTCGTCACTCTGTTGGATGATGTAATCGAGTCCTCTTCAGCGGCCACGGACTGTGCAAAATACCTCAACGGTCGAGGCGTCGGAAGTAGATACGATGGCTCCTACCCCGGCTCAATGGCCGTCGGAAGTTGCACCGGACTTACTGGTCCAGCCTCGTCGTTCAGCTCCAGCTACAAGACGTTTCTGAGGGAATTCTGGGAAGCCCAGGTCATCTCGTACGAGAAAGGGCAGGGTTGGATTCAATGGTATTTTGACATCTCATTGTGCATTTGCATGACTCAATATTTGTCAGGACGTGGAAAGCGGAGAATGCTGATGAGTGGTCGTACCAGGCGGGACTCGCAAATGGATGGATTCCCCAAAATCCCACGAATCTCATGTACCCGAACGTGTGCGGGTGAACGCGTGCCCTCTGTCGTGCCTATAGTAATGACCTCGCCCGTGTCCTTGTTGAATAAAGCAACTGATTTCCATAGCAGTCTGTAAAATCGGCGGTTCCTAGAAAAAACCTTCGTAAAGTTGGGCCAGTCGCGGAAGCGCAGAGTAGACACACTGCGCCCAGTGTCGGAAGACAATTTGGAGCAACAGTCTGCATGAAGATATCTTTTTGAAATCAGATATCTTTGACCTGAGTTGCGTGAGCTTCGAGGGTTGTGATCGATCGCCAAAATGTTGGGAACCTTCGCTCCATACCGTACCAGAGGCTTTACTTTGCGCGAGCAAAACCCACTGCTGTGAAGTGCGTTGAAATGTGAGATGAATCTACGAAGCAGGGTTATCATTTTTTTACCCTTCCTCTCGTTCTCCCTCCCATGAAAGCAAAACATACGTACTCCTCTGATTTCTTTTACATAATTAGGCCAATGGGCGCTGAAGTTTTCAAGGAGTTGGACTCGATGACCTGATATCTTTCTTTCTCTTGCCCGGAAGTGGACGGAGATTTCTGATCCATAAGGCTGCTCCCCAATCACCGTACCACTGAACCGAAACCGTAACCGTCGGGTTCAAAGGGTTCTAAGTTCTAGTAGCCTCTTTCACCTCCCGTGACGCCGTATTCATTGTGGGCAGCAACTCGGACCAAAACGGAGAGAAGTCAGCGGTTGCGAAACCAAAGCTCGTCCCGGCAACGTGCGATTTGTGAAGCAAACGTGAACACAGATTCAAAGCAGAAAATGCTGGATTTAAACGCGGAGGTTCCGACTTCCGAGTTTGTACTCCGTGCCGCGGCGCCGCTCCATGGCTCATCAAGCCGAGAAACGCGTGCAGTCCGAAGCCACTGGCAGACGTACTCGCGAAGTCTCTGGCTGAAAGTGACACTTGAGACCCATGAAAGGGATTCCGCTTGAACTTGGATTGAAGGGAGGGGACTCAAAGAGCCTTGATTACGAATTAAATTAGTGGTTCCCAGGGCCTGGCTTGGCCTGAGCGGGCTCAGGCTTGGGATCCGGTCTGTTATGGGGAGGAGTATCCAGGCTAGGCTTGCGGGCTTGGCTCGGGCTTAAGATATCAAAGCCCAAGCCCTAGGCCCGCTCAGGCTCGATCTCTGCCTTGGCTTGGTTCGGGCCTGAGGCCACGCCTTGGGCATCGCTAAGTCACAATGAGATAGCTTGGCAAGTTGGGCAAATACAAATGACATTATAGTGTCGGAATTGAGGAAAACGCCCGAAGAAATAGACTTGCCGGTTTTGAAACCGTATCGGGACTCGAGGGAGGATTAGACAAGCCCTTCCATTCCCTTGATGGTGCTTCATTCGATGATTCAAAGCCCTGCCTCTGTAGATGGGCCCTCGATCCGGTTTCTTCTGCTGTGGTCCAGGGACATCCATTTGCTGGACGATAAACGGGACGAAAAAGCTGCAAATCAGAAAATGAGATTCGCAGAGAAACTGGAGATAGTCTCCCCGTAGGAGATTATGTGGATCAGCGGGACGCAGAATATGGGAGTGAGACCCACTATCCAGACTCGGTGGGAGGAGGAATTTGGGAGTCGAGCGAGTCGCTGCAAATTCCAGGTTGGCGGTTTCGCGATAGAAGTTCCAGCAGGCACTGAGAAACCGAGACGAATTTCGGTGCACAAATTCGAACCATTCTATACACTAGACAGGAGGGACGGCGGGGGAGGGAAGGTGCCCGATACTACAGTAGCGTCAGCAGCCAGGATGTTGAGGCTGTCACGACCAAGTCACGACAGTCACGACTCACATCACGGCCAAGCACGGCAACCATTGGCAGGGCGAAAGGTCGTTTTTTTTCTCTGCTAATCCTCCGGAAAGCTTTGTGCGAGCGAGCCGGAGCTGGCGAAGCCAGCGACGGCTCGCGAGGGGCCGCAGTGCCAGTCCGGGGCGGAAATGTCCCGAATGGGAAACTCGTCCGTCAACCCAAAAAAGGAGAATAAAGAGTTTCAGGTAGTTTGGGGACGCGCAAGGGAGGAGGAATTTCAGGAGCTGAAGACCGGATTGAGAGAATGGGCAAGGAAGAAAGAGAAAGCATAAGTTCGTCCATGAAAGCAGTAGGCAGTTGGAGCAAAAGAGACGAAAAGTGACCTCTGCCCGGATCGAACGGACGACCTTCTGGAAGCCGCGTTAAATTCTGGAATCAGATGCTCTACCACTGAGCCAAGAGGTCCATGATGCATGTTCATGTGGAATCATAGACCTAGAGTTTAGAGCTTATTCCAAAGTTGCAGGATGCTCTACCACTGAGCCAAGAGGTCGATAGTGCATTTTGAATAGAATGCACTAAGTCAAAAGTGCATTCTATTCAGAATGCACTAGACTCATACTAGCGGTTATGAATGCACCTCTGACCTGCTTACAATGGCCTCATAAACAGTTTGACCTCTTATTTAATCTTATTCTTCTGTCATAACCCTTGGTCTGAGAGACATATTATATATATAGCCCCATGAATGTACCCATTCATCTTTTGAAATAAATCTTGTGGAGTCTCAATCAGATCACGAAAGGACAGGAAGCAATGCCACAGGCAGCAAAACATCCAGGACTTTCATCAGGGAGTGCAAAGGGATAGTCCATACTTTCCCTAATCCGCCCTGTGGATCCACAGGAAGGATGCAGCCACTTTCCCAATTGGGACACTGGCGGTAGCACTCCCAGTCTGGTGCTGTACTACCAGTCCATTACCAGACTCCTGGTATATACTGGATACTATAGTACCCAGTACTACCAGTACTACAAGTATCTAGTAGATACTGGCCAGTAGTAATAACAGTAACCAAGTACTAGTACCTATTTAGAACCGTACTGTATAGACACCCGACAACAACAGCCGTCTCCAATTTTTATGGAGTCCCATCCATGTCACGAGGGCACTGAGAGCACAAGGAATGACCCTGGAATCAGGAGCGAGATTCTTCCAGCTCGTAAATGGACAGGAAATGAGGCGGAGAGGCCCTACCTTCCGTCATCCAACCCGTGGATCCACGGGAAGGATGACTGCACGTCGAAAGGACAGGAAACAATGGCACAGATAGCGAAACATCCAGGACTTTAATCAACGAGGGCAAAGAGATAGTCCATACTTTCCCTAATCCTTCCCGTGGATCCACGGGAAGGATGCAGCAACTTTCCCAGTTGGGATACTGGCGGTAGCACTCCTAATTGGGTGCTGTACTACCAGTACATTCCCAGACTCCTAGTATCCACTAGCTAGTAGTCTCTAGTAGATACTAATTAGTAGTATAGTCTAGTACTACCAGTATCTAGTATAGTAGTATAGTGTCTAGTAGATACTAGAGTAGTATAATAGTAGTATATTTAGTCTCCAAGTGCCACTAGTAGATACTACTAGTAGAAGATACTAGTAACCAAGCACTAGTATCTAATTGGAACTGTACTGTACAGAAACCCAACAACAACAGCCGTCTCCAATTTTTTATTTCGGCAAAGCCGAAATAAAAAATTGCACTAAGTCCACAGCCCAGCAGGACTTGTAATTTTGAGAAAAAAAAATGCAGGGCGCGACGACGGTCGAGTGTGGGCGCCCAGTTTGATGGGGAGATACCGTGTGACCTTCCCATCATCTCATCATCACGCACACTCGTCCGCCGAGTCCACCCAGTTGCCCTCTTCTCCATCCTCACCACTACCACCCCCGCACAGATGAACAGCCCCGCGGCGGCGTTCCACCCCCGGCTCACGTCCCCGCCGCCGCCCCCGCCGCCGTCATCGCAGCAGGAGGCGGCGTATGGAGGCGGCATAGTGTACCCCGCGCCACGCTTTTTTGGCGCGGTGCCGGAGGGCGCGTGGGGGCGCCGGTGGGAGAGCGAGCATCGCGCGGGGGTGCCGCGCGCGATGGCGGGGCCTGGTGTTGGTGTTGGTGTTGGCGCTGGCGCTAACGGGACGGGCGCTGGTGTGGGTGGGGCGGCGTTCTCGCCGTTCTCGCACTCGCCTGCGCCGCCGGAGTCTGCGGCGGAGGGGGAGGCGCAGTAGGGGGTGTATTTATTCGCAAGCAAGCAAGCAGCATCGGTGTATCACCACCCGCACTCGCCCCTCGCCCCCGCTCCCACTCCCGCTCCCACGCCGCGCCGCGCCAGCATTAGAGGCGCGTCGTTTTTTTCGCCCGTCCGTCCGCGCGGTGGTCTTTTTTTCTTCTTTGTTCGTTCATGAATGAAGCCCGGCGATCCAGGACGCACGCAGCTTGAGGAGAAGGCGAAGGCGGTCGAGGTCAAGCTGACGGCTCCGGCAAAATAACCCCTGCGCTGGCGCTGTACTACTCCTTCCACACACCGTCGTCCACCCTCCCATCCGACGCATCCCCGAGCCCACCGAAGCTGCTCGGGCCGGCGGCAGCGCTGGAAGAGCTGTTGAGCCGTGGGTGCACGCTCGCGACGAAGCTGTGGGTGGACAACCACTGGGCGCTCATCCTGTGGAAGCTCACGGGAATGGCGTGCCTCGACCCCGAGCAAGAGAGCAACCCGAGCGCGAAGCGATGGTGCTGGGCGGGAGTGATTCGCCAGCTGCTTTATCGGTACCGCTCTTCTTCGTGCAAATTTCGCGCCCGCCGAAGCTCACGCTTTTAATGCATAGGTACGAGCGTGAGCTCAACGGCGGCGTGTGCCCGCCGTTGCGGTGCGTCGCGGCGCAGGAGCGGGTGCGAGTGGATCAGCGGCATCAGCGGGGCCGCCTCCACGACTGTCGCAGTTGGCGACGGGCGAGTGCAGCCGCAATCGCCGCCGCCGCCGCCGCCCGCTCATTCATGTCACGAGGGCACGCAGAGCCATAGAATCAGCAACTACCCCCATGCATCCGCAATCCAGCCCGTGGATCCACGGGAAGGATTGCGGCACCTCGGACCTTGTCTTCCACCACTACGCGCCCCGCCCGTTCCAATTCTGGACGACCCCCCACTCGGCATCGCCGCCGTTCAACATGCACCACTTTGCCGACAAGTATCTTCGAAAATTGAAGCACTACAACTCTCACTTCCTTGGTTCGTACATGGTTACCCCTGGTGTGTAATTCCACTGTTGGTCCCCATCACCGGAGAGCTAATGTCTTTCCAGCTCGCAAGCGGTCTACCTCTGCTGGACAACACGGCGCTCAACGGTGACACCGGGACTGTGCACGCGCTCACCCGCGTCATCGCACACGAGGGAACCATCGCGGTCGCTCGCCGCGCCCGGCGCACGATTCGCGCGCACCGCCCGCCACGAACACGGCTGGGCGAGTCAGCGAGCAACGTGTACAGCGTGGCGAATGTAAGTATCTTCAAGTTGGTGAGTCGTGTGTTGTGTATTCTCAACATCCGAGCGTAATCTGTCCTCATATAGTTTGAGGAGATCTCTGCGTCGTTCGGCGGCGGCAAACCCGGATGGTCCTCCACGCGGTATGTATTCTTTGTTGAATAACGGTGGCCAGACGACTGACCCGATCCGCATTTCGTAGGTAGAGGGGTGGATTTGGACAGCATGGGCTCGAGGTCGTAGTACTCCAGGGCGGGTTGAGCCGTGCATGTACCGCGGGCGTGATTGCACGCCTTGCGCTGCGTGCGATGCTGACCTCGCACCGCTCCTTTGCTTTTTAGTTACTTGGCTTGTATCTCGAGTACATCACATGACCATTCTGGTATAGAAATCTGTGAGCTGACAAAGCGCAGCTCACAGATTTCTATACCAGAATGTATTGGCATTTTGTCTGGCAAACCCACCGCGTATATCTGGAGGCGTAGAAGAATAACGGCTACCTCTGTACTTTTTGGTCGAATGAATTTGTGAACGCTCTGGATATGCCTTTTAAGGAAATCATGGTAAAGCGCGGATCGAAAGCCAGCCCTCCTCATCTGTGAGCCAGACGCGTCAGAACCAAACAAATATTGACAGCCCATTTCCCTTCCTTCCTCCTTATAATGTGTGAAGAAGAGGACTGCCAAGCGCGTATCATCCCTTTCTGTGCTCTGCCCAAACTGACGGTTTTTTAGCACAACCTCCCAGGCGTATGTAGCTATATATGCGCGCAATGTACTCAAGAGCCTAATCTTCCTCTAGACCAGCCGCGCAGGAGCACGTCAACACCCATTATTATGGGCGAGGGCAGGGAAGGCGCGTAGAAAAGTGCGTGTTCATTCACGAATCTCTCTTCTCTTCTCTGAATGGTCTTGTGTAGGTGATAAAAGAAATCACCGAGGTACGTCTTGTTCTCTGGATTCTCTTCTTGTGTAACGAATTTTGCAGGACGAAGCGGGGGATGCAGTAGCCTCACGCGAACGTGTAGAAGAAGAAACAGTGCGTGTTCATTTGCGAATCTCTCTTCTCTTCTCTAAATATTCTTGTAGGCGATAAAAGAAATCGCCGAGGTATGCCTTGTTCTCCCGATTCTCTGCTTGTGTAATAAATTTTGTAGGATGAAGCAGAGGACGGAGAAGCCTCACGCGAACATATAGAAGAAGAAGACGTATGTTGGTTTCTTTGCAGGAAAGGCGTATCGCTCATCCGACACACAGGAACATAGTGTAAGCTCCAAGGGGAAGACAAAGGTGCGTACCTATGTACTACAAATAGCCTTCATCTGAGGCTTTTTGGGGTTGCAGAAGAAAGCCAAGGGGCCAGCTGTAAGTCGACATGAAAAAGATTTACCCTTTCACTAATTTTTTTTCAGCGCCTTGATCCAGAGGAGGTGCAACGGCGCAGAGAGGAGAAGAACGCGCGACGCTGTGAAGAAGGGAGAAAAAGACCAAAGAGACAAGGCAAATCCAAAGAAGAGCAAACAGCGCTCGCAAAATATATCGTGTCGGGAGCGCAGAACTTGGCAGCATTGCAGGCGGCAGTCACGAGCATCCTCAACATGCATCAAGATGTGACTGCCCGTGTCCTCGCAGTCAACACCCACCTCGATTCTGTCAACAACCTGGCAGCGTATCCCGTTCCTCTGGATCCAAATGTCCTTCTGTCTGTACAAGACATGGTCGCCTCTTCGCTGAGCGACCCCCTGCACTTTCAACCAGGACCATGGGTTGCAGCAGGGATCCTGATTGAAGATACCGGCGACCTCATCCCGCAACACCGGGCGAGAAACTATGTTCGCATTGCTACAATCCCTGCGGACGCAGTACAGGACTTTATCGCCGTCAAGATGCGAGAATATCCTGCTGATCTCCCCTGGTATATC